ACATCACATGTACCTATAACAGCACCTAACCTATATAAGCATGTACACTATATACAGTACTGCACTGATGATGAACACCATATACAACCAAACATGTTGAACTGAATAGGGATACCTGCATGGGATGAGAATATTTGAATGAACCAAAAATTGCTATTTTTCTTTTCCCACCTCGATCTGTTCATTCAGTCAGTGCACTAATGTGCATGATGGCGATGAGTGATGCACTCATCTCCTTCTGTAATGTGCACTGCCACGCAACTGACTGACCATCATATGCAAGGGCGGCTCCTATATTCTCCTCGTTGTCGGTTGCCCCACCTCTTGTCCCTATATATATATACTATACTATAGTATACTGTACAGCAGTACTGTACTGTACTGTACGGAAGACGGGTCATGGGTCTCGGGTTCCGTCTATTCTCTTTCTCCCGCGGGGTCCGATTTCCGTGGGGACGAATCCTATCCTGCGGGGAGCAATATGTTTTTCACATAAAATATAGGTTATTATTCCTACTTGAATGTATATATATATAGTATGCGATACAGTATTCGTTTTTTGCGGAATCGACTCAATTAAGTTCGCATGTATATACGGGGGTACTGCTGGCAATGCCCCGCCAGTATAGTACAGTATATGCGTATGATGATGTGATTGAATTGGCGAAACGAAGAGTTACCAGCAACTTTTGTGTATACAGTACAGAACAGTACAGTACTGTATTTAGAGCAGCATCAGCAGACAGTTATACAGTATTGTACAGTACTTGGCCTCATCTTGTTCATGCTATATATAAGTATATATATATATATATGCAAAGATGTGTTTGCATCGTTTGATGACATCTTCATCTTCATCATCATCATCACTATACTGCACCATTACAATATTGTACTCTCGCAGCTCGTCTGCTGTGGCAAAATCACGCGTTGATCATCATCTCGTCTATGTACAATTCACCATCGTGTTTCTCAATTAATATATCCTGCTGATGATGACCCAAGAATAGTGTATATGAAGCAGAAATGAATAACATCAGCACCTCCAGCATTCACTCGTATATATATAATACAATATTATAATACAGCAGTGTTGTATATGCAGCTGTATATACACCAATATTTACTGTACTTCCTCGCTCATCATCCATATACATATATGCTGTGCTGCATACAGTATGTATATATGAGAAATACCGGCCTCATCGTCACCATACGAGCATCTTTTCAATAAATGAGAATAATAGGTTGGAGGAAATCATTAGCAATTGACGATATAATGATGCGTATATACGATATATATATATCCGCCGCTTTTATTTACTCTTCTTTATCGTATAAATCAGATGAGTCGCGGTATTTAATATGTACAGCAGCAGTACTGTACTATACTGTGCTGGTGATTTTCGCATGCCGTACAAGATATCATCATCGTACAAAGGAATATAATAAGAGATGTATATATTCTGCAAGATATATCATTAATATACTCTATATACTGCACAATAGAGACACTGTATACCTGCTTGCTATGCTGGGTCTGATATTCCACTAAATGTGCATCACAATAATGAACACGCGCGTATGAACAGTACACTAAGTAGTGTACTGTACTGTACTGTATACGTGCAGCTCAATTATAAAGGAAAGCGCGACTATATACGATTCAGCTATAGTAATCAAGCTATATAGTGCGCATCGAACCTGCTGCTGGTGCAATACAATTTTTAAAAAAAGAAAAGAAAAAAAAAAGGTTGTATTTGTGTACGATTCTTAATTACCGTATTGGATGCGGCCGGGATGCTGATGATGTGAGCGATGATAATGGACGATGACTTATTGGATTATTGTGCGTTGCGTGACGTTGTTTGTTATTATTATTCACGCGGTAAATAATATATATATATATATATAGGGGCGTGAATAATGTCGGATATTGTTGCTGATGGATATATGGAATCGATCGACGACGGTTACAGTGCGTCTTTTTATTGATGAATCCTGCGCGTCCGATTCGGTACGTGCTGCTGATGATAATGATATGATGATGGAAAACTGTACAGTACTTTTATAGGATGCAATGAATGATGCGCGACACGTGCTAATAGATGGCGCTGCTGGTGCGTGTCGCGCGACCGGTCGGGTACGCGTACTGAACTGTACTGTACAGCTGTACCATATGTGCATGTGTGTCGTATATTATTATTCATCCAGCAACAGTCCTTCCCATCCCATCTTTATTTATATACAGAGTATTTATTTACATCGATTATTTATATTGATACATCATGCTCCTCATCATCGTCCTCTTCGAACGCGATCATCATCGGCATGTATATATACTGCTGTATACTGTAATACCATGATGATGATACTGTATATTCTGTATGACTCGATCGAGTGTTTGTCATTCCTGCTGCTCATCGACGAAAGCTCAAATAAAGCCAATAACTTATCATTATTGACACGATAGTGATTCGTGATGGTCCCCACGCTGCATTATATATTCATGTTCCTGCGATGCTCGTCGTTTCTTATTTGTCAATAATATCATTCTTCCTCGTCGTCGTTCATTCTCTTTCGATCTATCGATCTGATCGCTGCATGGTGTCGTACAGTTTACTCACATTCTCATTTCCCGTTAGCATCTCGATATCTATAAGATAAGTGATTGCTGCGAATAATCGTATATATAGTTGCTGATCGACATCGTCATCATCAGCACCGGACAGCAGTAAATCAAGAAGTATATAAATTATCATTATATTACAGTTGTATATAAACGCAATAAATGACATTCAGCAAGTTCATGTAGAATTAAACAGTTGATTTTACAATACTGTGTATATATATTCCTTAAATTATTCGGGATTCAAAAATTGACTCATTCCCTTCAGCACGTTCTTTTTTCTATGCTTCAAAAATATATACTGTACAGCAAGTTTTCAAATTTTTTTTTATCAAACATGTTAAAATTACAATTATTCATTGTACGTGCTGCAGCATTTCTTTTGGTCAGAAAACTACTGTATAATCTACGCGAAAATGACGTGCATATTTTTCTTGCATCGATTTAAACATGTATATAATGCGTGTATGATACGTATGCGCTTTCCTTATTTTTCATTATTCAGCAGTAACATAGCTGTATTATTTGTATATATACAAACTCGAGTACATTACGCAGTACAGCTTATAGTATTATTTATACAGCAGCAGTTATATATCAACTGCCGGGTGTTTCTTGCAGGAGCAGAAATTCACGCCGGCAAAACTCCACCCCACTGCACCGCCCACCCCTCACTCCCTATCCTCAGCACTCTCTACTTTACCCACAATAGTGACAGACTTTAGGGTTTGAGTTTAGTGCAGTGAGCGGCGTCACAGGACAACATGCTACACCAGTTCCATAGTGAGGTTTAGCATGCTGTACAGTGTACTGCGCTTCCCATTGCCAACATGCTGTTCCACCAACCCTGGAAAGTGTTTGAAGTAATTCTTAGCACAAGCACTATAATATTAAGCACATTAATCAGACTAGAAAAGGCTTCATAGAAATTCATTAATTGTTAATGCAATGAATGAGCAAATGTAGAAATGAGAGGGAAAGTGCAAGTGGAATACTGCTTGATGGATAGATGGCTGCATTGGTGCAACACAGATGCTAACAGCAGTGAAATTGAAGAAAAACAATGTTTGTCTTTATTTAATCTCGTGTTTGGTATGCCTCTCCCATAAACCACCACCCCTAATAAACCACCACCCTTGTTAACCCACCAAAATCCTGCTGCGCAGACATTGGCGGTTTAAAAATAAGGTTTGCGTGTACACTTGCTACACCACTTCCTGCATAAGGGGTGTATTCCCGATTCTTCAAGTCACTCATGCACAACCATGGGAGAGAGAGTGTGTTGGTTGCAGGGCATGATGGGATGGGGGGAAGCAGGGGTGAGGAGTTCTGACCACGTGCAGTTCTGCTGGGAAGAGATGGGGCCGTACCCATCAGAATACTGTACCTGTATAGGTTATATATGCTCGAACATCTACAGTATAAACTGTTTCATTTTATATATTTTTTATGGTTTCTTCACCTTAAAATTGAGGTTTAGTGCGACACCCATGCAAAACTTTCATGAACATTTGTCAACCGTTTTACAACTCAATTTTTTGAAACGCGACGGGATTTCTCAGGAATACTGCGGGAAATCGGGAATTACACCAGAAGCAGTAAGTTAGCTACTCAACTAACAACCATGTCCGACATCTAGCGGACACCTTTTAGAACCACTGTGGACGTCTAGAGAAGCTCAGTTGATGGAAGATCAGTGGGATGTCGGTGGGAGCGGAGCAACGAGACGAAGCAACCGCAGGAACTCAGCGGTTTCCTTTAATGTCTTGACCTGAAAGTGTCTTGTACAGTACAGTAATACCTGACTCGTATTGACCGTGTGTCTGGTCCTTCCTTACAGAAGTTGGTCTAAGTCATTTCCTTTGGAAACAACCCTTATTAAGCCCAGTGTGATCACCATGGTCGCAGATTGTTCATGGTCATTCACCAAGTAGGCTGCAAATTGTGCAATAGCCTTAGTGCGTGGTGCCTCGCGTCGTTGCGAGTCGAGTTTGAGTGCCATGAATATCATTATCAACGTGTGTTATGGGATACGGACGTTTGTTTGTTGGTAACACTACTTCTTGGTTTCAATTTCTGCCGTAACAACAATTTCCCACGTTAAGCAAATGTATAGGAATGAATGTGTGCTGGTCCAAATATTTAAGCAATATGCAGAAAAATTCAGTTACTTTCGGCCTCGTGAAAAAAGCAGTATTAAATCGCAATGACTCGATGGCTGACCCAAGAACAGTGTCCAAACTGATCACGGTTATAGACGTATATGACGTCTCAGTCGGGTACATTTTTTTTTTCGCAGGTCTCAAGCTGTGACAATTTGTTCGCCGCGCCGAATTAACCGGCTGAGGATTGTGAGTGTTTGAGGTGCACGATGACAGGAGATGCTCACATGCCCTTTGCGTTGATTGGGGAAAGCGTGTCGAAACGACTTAATATCGAAGTGGGGTGAAGTTTGATGATGGATCCTTGCCGTTTGTAAAGGCGCAGGAGTGGATAATCGAAATTTGTTCAGGACTGTTTCATGACGCGGAGGAACCGCTGGAACCAAGTTCCTCCCCGTCGGTGCGGTGATGACCTGCGCTGATAATACCGGTATGCTTTTTTTTCTGTATTAAATGCTTGTCTGTGCCTTGCCTTGATTGACCAGGAATGCAGGGAGAACTATTAATGGATGTTTGTTGACGCCAACATCTTTTTATTTTTTCTTCAGGTGTGAAAAACTGACCTGTGATTGCCGGCGGTTGTCTCAATCGCCTCCCCGCAGCTGCCGTCGGAAACATCATTGTGACGCCGGTGAAGAAGGGCAAGCCAGAGCTCCGCAAGAATGGTATGTACGAGAGAGGTTTTGTCTGAGGGTACGATTGCCCACTTTCGCATGCTTTAAACAATGTCTCTCGTCGGGCCAGTCATGCAAGCAGCAGTGGTGATCTTGAAGCAAAAGCCATGCTGGAGGAAGGACGGACGGATACCTCCTGTTTCAAAGACAATGCCGGTGTTATCGTCAACAACACGGTTGAGTTGAAGGGCCATCACCGGGCCAGTTTCCAGGAAGGAGTGCGCGGATTTGTGGCCGAAGATCGCCTCAAACTCCGAGCAGCATTGCGTGAACCCACCTGCGTCCGTGTCTCTTTCAAGGAAGCTGACAATTAAAACATTGAATTTGAAAACCTCTGGCTGAATTTTCAAACCGTAGTTTCCCGTGTCTTTCGCCAGAATGCTCACTCGCTGTTTCAATGATGGTCTGATAAACGTGTGGCCTTACATTAAGGCGCATGCGTGACTCTGTGTCGTATAGGTGCACAGAGATAGAGAAAGAAAATATGTCGCCGAACTGGCAACTTGCGATTTGTGCTCTGGCTAAGGACTGGACTTCCGACTTTATTTTTAGCCGGAAGTTGTCCAGTGTTGACGAATCATGTTCATTGAATCCCCAGGCGTAAATATATGATGATCCTCGGGGGTTTGGAAAGACCCTTTTAAACTGGCTGTGACGCAAGAATGCGACACGGTCACCGCCACGCCGACGACTATGGGCGTGAACGGTTATTCGAGTTCCCACACGTCACTCAACAAAACCGTGGAGAAAACGTTGATAGAAGCTCAGCAAACCGGATACCTGTGCCTCAGTTGTCGCAGTTTGCGAGAATTCCCGGCGTCAGTTCAGTTCGACTTGAGTGACACGGTTACTGCCGGTGAGTCCCGGGTTCCTCGTGTCTTTGTGTAGTTGACATGGTGAGCTTGAAGCAAAAGAAAATCTATCCATGAATCTTCCTTTTGAAAATGATTCAAATTGTTCATTTTGTTGTGTTTAATGTAGATCTATCTAAGAACCGTCTTGGAACGGTGCCCGACGAAGTTTGCTGTTGGTCGTCGCTCCAAAAGTTGGACCTCTACTGCAACGTGATCAAAAATATCCCAGATTCTGTGATTGCTCTCCGCTCCCTGACCTTCTTGAACATCAGCCGGAACTACTTGTCGGTCCTCCCCGCCTCGCTCTGTCAACTCACTGAACTTCAGGTCCTGCTTGTGAGCCACAACAAGCTCGTCAGCCTGCCGGAAGAAATCGGCCACATGAAGTCCCTCATGGAGCTGGACACGTCGTGCAATCAACTGACGCATCTCCCGCCGCACATTGGACATCTGAGATCGCTCAAAGTTCTGAACATGCGCCGGAATCTGATTGTGGAGCTTCCGGTGGAGCTGAGTTATTTGGTGTTGACGCAACTGGACGTAAGCGGGAATCGCATTTCAGTCATACCTCCGGAACTTCGTCTCGTGACTTCCTTGGTGACGTTGAGTATATCCGACAACCCCTTGACGTCGCCTCCTGCTCAATTGTGCACGAGAGGCAAAGTGCACGTTTTCAAGTACCTGGAAATGCTGGCGCAGAGAGAGGAGAAGAAGAAGGGCGTCATCGCCAGGGAAGCTGCGGAGCCGGCAAATCATCCGGGTGTCCTGCCCAGGAGGGCCACTGTTCCTGCGATGCTTCCTGCTCATAATAATAGATATAGGTTAGTTTCACGCAAGCACGTGTCTTGAGTCCGATTTTATGCAACTACGTTAAAATGTTTTATTTTTCCTGCAGGCACATGAACGGCGATGACCGGACTTCGCCACCACCGCCTCCTCCGCCTCCGCGGAACCTGGACGTGAAGCCTTTCACCGTTGAGAACGGAGGCAGTTATCCATCAACACCGTCGACCATCAGTCCCGGCGATCCCAATGGCACGGGTAGCTTGGGAGAGGAAATTTCTAGGGAACTTTATCGAATGCAGCGCATGCCTTCCAGTCCGCAAAGGTGACGATTTGGATATGTTCAGTACAGTACAGTATTAGCATTCCTTTGTCGACGATTCCGCTGTAGAGTGTAGTGCTATACGTTGCATATTTATAGTCGGGGGATATAAAGTAATGTACTGTTCGCGCTCAACTGAAGGGAAGGTCATTGCTGTTGTTCGTATGCCATATTTTGAGGTTATCTGCGTAAAAACTTTTAAAGCGCAGCTAAATTGCGGTAGTATTTTCAGTTTGATTTTGGATGAACAATAGGTGCCTTTTTTGTGAATCATTTGCAACAACAAAATCTACAGTAAAGAAATTTAGTGTCGAAGCACTTTTCGAAATTCGCGATCATGTCCCCGAGTAAAGAAAGCTTCGTGGCAAATATTTTAAAGATCGGATCGAAGGAAAGTGGTGATGGGGAAATATTTTTGGTTGAGTAACCGATTAAAATTTCGGCGATTGAACTTGGGAGCATCCATCATGTTTTTTTTCTTCCTTTTTTTCAGGATTGAAATACTGCTTCAAGATTAAAGTAAATTTGATTTGATTCATTTAATTTTTGCTGCTACTGTAATTTTGCATTCGTTCATAATGAACAATTTTTTGGAAAATTTGCATCGTGCTGGAAGCTCGCGGCATTTTGAAAGTGGGGACTGCGTTCCTGGAAATGGTTGTTGACGTTATACCTGTTTGTTTTTCTTTTTTTTCAGAACACATTCGCCGCAGAAGATCCCGCCTCCACTCCCGACTGCCCCGCCGCCAGTGGTAGTGAAGCGGTCCAACAGCAACGTGACGCAGAAATTGGAAGTGTTGGATGCCAACAGGAATCCCGCGCCGGGTCCTCAGTCTGCAGTTCCGGCTCCGGGTCACATTCAGACGTACAGGTAAGTTCCGCGTTCCCAAGCATCGTGCTGATTCCGAATTTCACGATTTTAAAAGCATATGATGTTCCGATTTGTTCCTTGAAACGCTCCTGATGAAATCAGCGAGTCGGAAGCGGAAAGCAGGTGAATAATCCAAGAATCGACTTGACGTGTTTTTTCACTCACGTTGTTGTGATTCGGTTCGGGTTTTGATTGATTAACCGGTTATTTCCCTCCCGCTTGCTCTGGTTGTCCTTTATGTGTGTGAGTAGGTACAAGGGTTGTCCCACTTTGGCTTGGCCTCGGGTATTTCTACTCCTGTAAAAAAAAAAATTGTATGATGAAGCCCATGTAAAATTGTAAGGTTCTGAGATTTTTCTCAGATTTTTTTTTCTTTTTTAATTTACATTTACTGCATGAAATATGAAAACTTTCCAGTTCCAGTGAGTTCTCCATTCATATCACAAGCTGTTGAAAGTTTTTCAGGCTGGACAAAAAAATTGAAAATTTCATGTTGATTTTAGCATTAACTTTCATATATTTTTTTTATTGTGGTACCTACTCGAGGCCAAGGCCAAGCCGAAGTGGGACAACCCTCATATGTATGTGTGTGTGCGTGTGCGCATGTGATATCCATCCAGCTATTGTTGGTCTTTTGTTTGCTTGACATTTCTCCCGTCCCATGCCCCGTTCGATCACAGTGTTTTCTTGCCCGCGTCGAGTTGATGGCATGATGCTGTATTTTGCAGGGAATACAAGGAGGCGCTGAGATTGCAGCGAATGGGCCCGAAAGGCGGAACTGGTACTTCCGATACGAATGGACTGCCGAACACTAGTACTTCTATGTCGAGCCAGATGCAGCATCAACACCAGCAACAACACCAGCAGCAACACCAGCAGCAACACCAGCAGCAACAACAGCAACAACAACAACAACAACAACAACAACAACAATCATTGAAGCAGCCGATGTACGGCTATGTGAACGTAGGTTTTTTATTTATTTATTTTTTGTTCATCCTTTTGTTGTCCTCTTGTTGACCGGTTTTCGCAATAGGCTCGAGCCAGTCCGGTGAAGGCTGTTTTGATGGACTCGGAATTGCCGGCAACTGCAGTCTTGCCGGGTGTGGCCCAAACAGCCTACAGCCAGCCCACGTCGTCACTAGTGACGGCGTCTCCAACCGTGACGACGGGCATCGCGACGGGTCCGACGAGCAAAACACTCCATCCGCATAAGAAGCACGGTAATTGCACTGATTCGAATTACAGTAATTTTTTTTTCATTTCAGGGAAGAGCAGGAAAAGGAATATTATTGTCTTGCGCTTTTCTTTTGCCAGGTTTGCATCCTCCTGCGACGTCCTCCACGCCCAAGCTGAAGAACTCGAATCCGAGTCTGCGCGGGTCCAACTCGAGCCTAGCGTCAGTCGCCTCCAGCACGTCGTCGTCGATGATCCCAAAGAGTGGTGCCAAGAAAATTGCGCGACCGGGAGTGGGCGTCGGTGTCGGCGTCGTGGGCTCGTCCCACACGCTGGGGCGAAGGACTGGCTCGGGTTTTGGCAGCGTTCGCTCGGCCTCCAGTCTCATGACCAACTCGAAAACCAGCGGCTCTGCCACCTCTGCTGCAACGAGTGGTCATCATCACCCGCCGGGCACACCGAAGATGCGCGTCGTGAATTCCACCTCTACCCTGGACCGGGTCAAGAGGTCTGGCCTGGCCTTGGTCCCCAGTGGCACTTCGGGCTCGGGTGCGTCGCTCAACCACCCGAATGCGACCATGAAGCGGGAATGGGAGAAGGTGAAGGCGGAGAAGGAACGCCTCGCCGACATGAAAAAGGTGGGTTGGGTTGCTGTTTAGTTCAGTTCAGTACAGTACTGTACTGGATTTGAACAGAGCCATTTGGGGGATGATAATTGTTCATCATCATCATCATCACCAAGTTTTGGTTCCCCTGTACATATTTCGTGTTGCAGAATATTGAGACGAGGCTGAAGATCACGCTGCCGGAAGACCTGCCCAAGTCTCTGGTTGACGGAGTGGTGCTGTGTCACTTGGCCAACCACATTAGGCCCAGAGCGGTAGCTTCCATACACGTACCGTCCCCCGCAGTGGTGAGTCGAGTTGTCATTCATTCATTCTTTCGTACTCGGTCAAAAATCTCTTTTAATTTGTCTCTCTGTTTCAAATTTCCCAGCCCAAGTTGACTCTGGCCAAATGCAGGAAAAACGTGGAGAACTTCCTGGAAGCGTGTCGTCGGATCGGAATACCTGAGGTGAGAGAACGCAACTGTCTGAGTACTGGATTGTCTTTTTTTTTCGGTTCTGCCTGTTTTTTTGGGTTGAGGTAATATTTTTACGATGACGGAGAGAAAAAACTCGTGCTAGTTGATGATGGAAGAAGGGTAGAGCTCTACGCTTGCTTGAGTGTGTGCGCGTGCCTGTCCTTTGAGAAGAGTTTTTCGAAATGTTGGTTGGTCGTGAAAAGTAAAATGGTGTGTGGGTAACACGAAAACATGAAACGCGACTCTGAAGGCGGAGTGGCTGGAGCCCGACGACGTGGTGACGCTGTCGACGGAGCCGTGGGACGGACCGTGGACGCTGTTCCTCTTGTCGCGGATCCTCGGCGACTTGCTGACCGTCGACGACGACGACTACGAGGAGGAGGAGGAGGAGGACACGACGTTTGACGTGGGCTTTGTCTCAGGTGGCGACGATGTGGACGTGTCGGAGGACGTCTCACCGACGACGGAGGACTTTCCCTCCCACTACGACGTTGTTTTCAAGGAGGAGGAGGACGAGTCGAGGAAGTTTTTGCCAACGGTGATGATGTCGATGAAGACGAGGGAAAGAGCCGTCATGGCGCTAGGGGGTTGGACGGCCTGGGTGTTGATCGCGTTCATGATTGCCGTCGCGTCCGTGGTGTTGGCTCGAGTGCCAGTGGACGACGATGTCGACGAGAGTCACTTTATGACGCATGACGAAAATACCATTTGATTTCATTCATTAACATCATTGTCCAATGCTAGGCGGCAGTGAGGTTCTATGATGCCGTCTGGTCTAACGTGGGAAGGAGTCGTTTTATTTTATCTTGATCTCGCTAGGACGTGGCGCTTTAATGTGTGTGAAACAGTTTTCCGAAGAAGCTTGTCGTTGTATTCTCGCTTGTGTGATGATGATGCCGAAGAGGGTAGGGGATTTTATTCAGTATGCGAAGTGTGGTGATTCCGAACGAGTTTCAGAAGCTTTTTTTTTCTTCGATTTTTGACTCGGAGAAACTGTGTATAAAAGATGGAAACATTATGTTGCAAGGAAGGCTGTCGTGTAAATTATTGTGGGAAGGACGAGTTGAACGCCTCTTTTTTTTTTCTTCTTCTTCATGAGATGCGAGTTGAGAGAGATTTGGATCAAAATGAGTCGAGGCTTCGAAGATTGCGTGTTTCGTTTGTGATTTCGACGAGTCGATATGAATAAAGGAGGATCAGGGAGAGACTGGGAACTAGAAGACTTGTGCGTATGTTTTCTCGTTTGCTTGCCTGTCTGTTGTGTTGGTCTCGTAGATTTTCATCTCTCACTCTCTCTGTCTCTTTTTTTTTTTTTTGGGTCGGTGCTCCTGATTTATTGATCGACTGGAAAGGAAGAATAATATCGTAGCAGGCTAGATGTTTGGGTTGCGATTGATTTGACGTTTGATTTTCGTGTCTCTTCCGCCTTGTCTCGTCGTTTCCGTTTCGTGTATTGTCGTCACTCGTTTCCGTAGGACTGTTTGTGCACCGCGGGAGACATTCTGGAGGCCAAGAACGTTGGGAGGCTCGCGGACTTGGTGGCTGCCCTGCTGCGAACTGCGCCGACCCCGAGGACTAGAATCTGATGATGGACCGACCTTTCGAGTTGACAAACGTTGGATCCAGGAAAGTCTCTCGCTAGTCGGATTTATTTTCGTTTACGTATTCATTTGTTCCCCTGCCTCTTTTCACGCATTTCCGTTTCCAGTACTGTAAACACACACACACACACACAAACGACGGAAAATGAAACTATGGCGTCTAACGCATTGTGCGTAAATGTACTGTAATGAAACGAAAGATGAAGACGTTTTTCGTCATCGTCATGATGATGATGTGGATATAGTTGGCTCCCGTTTCAAGTAGTTTTAAACTCGGTGATGACACTTGCCTTTGGTTGGAGAAAAGAAAAGTGAGAAAATTTTCGTGTGTGAACGTGTTGGGTGGCATTCGAAGAAGCATTTGGAAGGAAAACTTGCCTCGCTGTCCGTGCACGAGGGACGAAGCGCACGGAATGGAAAAATTGATATGATTGTGGCACTTGAGTGCCCACAATTGCTGAAAAAGGTCTTCGGAAAAGAGATGAGAAAAAGTGCTCCCATCGTCTAGTTTTGTTGTTGTTTTTTCGTCTTCTCAAAGACTTGTTACCCGAATTGCGGACATTTTTTTGCGAAACTGTTTGATCAAAGACGTGGACTTTCGTGGCGTTGTTGCCTTCGTTTTTTTTTTTTTTTCTAACGAGTCCGCAGTGGAGAATTCAATTTTTTATTATGATGAACTCGCTGTTGCTTCCAAGCTGCCGATTGTCGGCGCTGTATGTTTTGGCTGGCTGGCTGAATTGAACGATCTTTCTTCTTGATTGGATTGACAAGTCAACGTTGGCTTTTATGGAGTCGCTTTCCGTGAGATTCGTTGGAGGAATACACGACCTTTCCTTTTCATTGAGCCACTTTGGTGAACATCACGATGATTGATTGACTGGATTACAAATAACGATCCCTGTATTGAAGCTCATTATTATTTCTGTTCCTCTCTCAATGTTGTCGTTGAAAGGGGTGGACAACTCGCTTTCTTAATTGCTCGTTCGATGAATTGATGTAATGCGAGTGTGCTTTTGGGCGAATGGATGCCCTGTCGAAGCTGGAAACACTCGCCCTGAGTGAAGAAGCGAGTTGCCTGGAGATCGGCCGAGTCTTGCGCGAGTTGAGGACCCCTGCCCTGCTCGAGTCCACTGATGCCCCCAGAGTGACGGCAGTTGTGGCCAGGTTGTTGTCTGCGACGCCGGAAGCCGCTGTGCTGAACCTGAGTGCCCAGGTGTTGTTCAACCTGTCGGTCATTCACCGACCTGTCCTCCCGGACCTGTGGGCCGTCTTTGGCCCGAGGTGTGCCGCCATGCTCGGGGATTCGTCGACCGAACGCGTGGCGGCCTTGATTGTCCACGCGTGTGGCCAGGGCCGGGTCTTCGGGGTGGAGCACGTGACGGAGGACTTGTGGGACGCGCTGTTGGGATCCGAGTGCGAAGAGTCGTTGCTGGGGATCGAGGCCGTGTTGGCGTTGCCCGACGCGTTCCGGGCCCTGGGCAAGCGATCGAGTGCCGCCCTGCACTACGTTTCCGCCGCCGTCGAGTCCGGAACGGCACCGAAGCACTTTGCCGCCTTCTTGCCGAGCGTAGTCGAGAGGTTTGAGGAATTGGTCGACTGCTCTGTGCTCAGAAACGCTGGCGGAAACCTGGTCGTCGAAGAACAAGTGGAAGAGTTGGTGGCTTGCTTGGATCTCCTCGGGACAGTCACTGCCAAAGATGACGACGTGAGAGACGGTCTGCAGAAGCCGTCGCTTGTGGTTTGCGTTGCTCGTGCGTGTGTCCCGCTCTCTTTCTTTTTTTCTTCGAAAAATAAAAAAAAGCAAAATTATGTGTTCGTTTGTTGCGTAGACTTTTTGAAAGCTTTGGAAGACGCGACAAATCCGACGCAACAAGTGCTGAGCGAAAAGCCGGTGGTGAGCATGGATGCCATCAATGCTGTTCGTAGCGGACAAATTTGCGAGGGAATCACCGACTCTCCCGTGTTTGAGCTGAAGCAGAAGTTGCTTAAACTCGTGGGCAACTTGGTTTACAGGAACCGAGAAGCTCAAGATTTGGTAAACAAAAAGAGACGAAACTAAAAGATGCTTGGGATTTGAGTTGAACACGTTGTTGCGTATTTTTTTTTATTTATATTATCTAGGTGCGCGAGTCAGGTGGTGTCATTGCCGTGCTGAACTCTTGTGGCATGGACGCCCGGAATCCTTGTGAGTACAGTACCGTATTGTGACTCGTGCGAGACCCGAATTTCTTCGGGAAGTTTCATATTCTTTTTCATTTTGTCTTAGACATGATGCAGTGGGCTATTTTGGCCATCAGGAATCTTTGCGAAGGCAACTTGGAGAACCAGGAGCTGATCAAGTCGTTGACCAACAAAGGCCTGGCTCCCAGTGCGCGCGCCGTGTTGGATCAGTTTGGCCGCGACGGCGACAAGTTGGAGCAGGCAGTGCTGAGAATTGCCAAATGATTTCTTTCCTTTTTTTGTTGTTGTTTCACCTCACCCATGTTGGAAGCAGTAAATCGAGCGCGTTTCCGTGATGCATTGCTTTCCTTTTTCCCTTGAGAAAAAGAAGAGAATCCATTTTCAATTCCGTGAAGAAGAAGAAGAATACAGATTCATTCATTCTTTTTTTTTTCCTTTGCTGCTTTCGTTGCAGACAACATGCTCGAGAATGAGCAGCAGCACCACGTTGCAAAGTGATGATCGTTCGCGACGAAGCCGCTCCAAGAAACGACACGCGCCTCCGCCGCCGTCTCTCCTCATTTCTCCGTCGTCGTCGATTGTGCGTCAGAAACGTCGGGCTCCGCAGCCACCATCCCGCGCAAATGACTGGTGCGTATTATTTGATTCTGACGGTTGAAAAAAGCGGGCGTGGAAAAAAGCAACGACAGAGAAGGTGGAAGACAGATGGGAATGATGAGCGTTGTTTTGTTTGTGTCGTTGTTGCCGACAGCAGCTTTGTGATAGATGCGTCGGGCCACCTGCGCCCCGTCGACAGCCGGGCGAGTACGCGGCAGCCCGTCCCGACGCCGCAAAAGACGCTGGTGTGCGTGCCACGGCCCTGGTACAAGCGGAGTCACTCCACGTCCCGGGCCTCGACGCTCGCGTCGTCCTCCTCGGCGACGTCCACTTTGCGACGCCTTTTCCTCGCTGGCGGCAAGATGTTCTCTCCTCTGCAGCGTCGGGAGTCGATGACGAGTGTCGCGTCTGCTGAAGACTTGGCCTGCAACACGCTCCAGTTCCTGCACGAGTTGACTGCCAAAGACGACGGACTGGGTGCAGTTGCCCATCCGGCAGCAGTGGCAGCTGCTGCCAGCACGGACGTGACGCGAGTGCGGAACGTTTCTGCCCCAGCCAACGAGGTGAGCTTGCGAGTTGCGTGTTGCTGCTTCTTCCGTGCGCTGATTTTGTGCGTGTTCGTTTCCGTTCCGGGCCCGATTGAAGGAGTACGACTTCATGCCCTTCCGAGTGACGACGACGGACGTGACGCGGCTGTACAACGAGGCGCAGGTGGTGCGGACGAACCCGGACGGGACGACGCAAGTGATGCCACTCAACGAGTGCCTCGTGCTGCTGCCGACGGGCATCGACGGCACGGGCCTCCGGGTCATTGGACGGGACGCCAAGCTGAAGGACGTGCAGACGTCGAGGATGCATCTGCAGCGCGTGTTAGCCAAGAACATTGCGCGGGAGGTGGAGACGAGCCCGACGGCGTCGGCCGCGGTGGTGCAGTTTGCGGAGCAGCATCTGGAGGACGACGTGGTTGTAGAGCGTGTGAGTCTGCTGCAGCCCAGGCTGCGGGCCAGGCTTGTTGGTGTCGACGTGCTCCGAGATAGGTTTTCCGCCCAGCCGTCGCCGCTTGTCCCGCTGCCCAGGCCGCAGGATTGTCTCCGACGGGCCGTTGTGCTTCAGGGCAAAGGTGCGTCATTTCACTTCGATGAACCAAATAAATAAATACCAGTCATTTTTAGTCGAACCATCCGTTCATTATTTATTTTTATTTTATTTTTTTGTTGTTGCAGACATTCATCTTGATCCGAGGACTTGCGGCTGCTTCAGGAGGCTCTTGACGGATTATCAGCAGCAGCAGCAACAAGGTGCTGACAGTATTTTGTGCAAAAACTCTCTCAGGTGGGTGATGTTTGAGTCAAGTAGATGGAAAAAAAAAATATTGATCTAATGATTCAATTTTAATTGACCAACCAAAACCGAGCGGACGATGGAAATGCGTTTTAATGAAAAATACTGTAATTGATTTGGTTCAGGTTGCAGCTGTTTGTGGAAAGCTCGAGCGCGCATTACGGGCCGATTTTCCTGCATTGTTGCTGGCTCTGCAAGCTGGAGCATGTGCAGGAAAGAACGTCGAGGGAATTGCTGATCCCTCCGCATTACCAGAAGTGGATCATTGGAAGGACGCTGGTGACCAACTTCCGATGGAGTCTGGCGAGCTATGGGATCAAGGAGAACGGCTGTTCCATCTTTTTGTACGTCGTCGAGAATCGTGAGTGTGACGTTACGTTTCTTTGTGTATTCACGACAGTCTTACGCTTGGTTATGGTCTTATGAATGGTTATTCATTATTTATTTCCGTTGCTTCTTTTTTGTGGCCAGTTGTGGCCAAGCCAGTTAGCCAGGCGCCCGACTCCCCTGAACCCGCTGCTCTTACTGTGAGGTCAATAGAAGAACAGCTTGAAGGTAATGATTGATGGATTCACAGTACGTATTTCCATTTCGAGGAGGAAAAAATAAAGGTGTGCTCGTGTACAATCTCGATTTTGCCTCGTTCTTCCTTTCCAGTTGCGATGCAAGTTCTAAAGACTGGGCTTCAAAGTGATGCAATTCCCCTATCGTCCGATGCCACCAAAGATAAGCTGAAGAGAGTCGCGATGGAAGTCAAAACCGATGCCCTGAAATTGTCCCCAACCGATGAGCCGCCGGCGGATGCTGAACTTGCTGCTGCTGTTGCTGCCGATGATTCTTTGTCTGCTCTGGAAACAGAGTCGGGAAAGAATGGCGACGATGGTCGTGGCAGTGGCAGCGGCAGCATTATTCTGTCGACGCCCGAGAGACGACGCCCGTTTTCCCGTGGTGGGTGCAGCAGGAGTGCATTGTCTGATAAGCGGGAGTCTACTCCGCACCCTGTCAAGGAAGTGCCAGCGGGCCGAGTGGATCCCGATGAGGTGCCGGGGAGCCCCGAGCCTCACGCCAGCTCCGTTGCTGTCGTCGTTGCAAAGGCCGCCGTCGAGGAAAAGGAGCAAGTGATTCGCATATCAGTGCCGGGCAAGGACAGAGAAAGAGACGGAGACAAGGACACGGACAAGATCGAGTCCAAGCCCAAGTTCGTGTCGTCTGTTTGTGTCGCGTACGAAAGGGCGGGCAAGGCGAGTGCCAGTCCGAGCAGGAGCCCCGTGTGGATCGCAGATAAGCTGCTTCCTGCATGTAGTCTTTTAGCGTTTAATCGAATGCGAATGGTCTCATCCACTGCTGTGATTCGGTGCCTTAATCAAAGCATGGTTCCGCTTGTCGTCGTGTCCTGCTAACTGATGATCCGTCTCGATCGAGAGAGAACTCAATAAAACGCCTAGCTGTGATGCCGTATTCTCAACTCACTCTTGCAAGTCTGAGTCATTTCTGCATGACTAATTGAAAATTATTTTTTTGGGGGGGAGGGGGGATTTGAGACCACGTACGTACGCACGCACACAAATCGAGGTGGCTCAGTTACTGTAACGCCAGCAACGAAGGGTATGAGTAAAAGTAACAGACCCCATGTGTGTACAGTGCGTTGTTACTTCATGTTGTTTTGTGTTGCGTTTGCAAGTGACAGAAGGTGTCCGCACTGCGAGGAACCACTCGCTCCGTACCAGTTCAAATGCTCCAAGTGCAATAAGTTCGCCGGCATTGCGGCTGCGGCGGCCAAGCCGTCCCTCATCAGGGAGGCCATCAGGAAGCAGTCGCTCGAAGACTCCAAGTCCACTCCCTACAACAACAGCATCAGCAGTAGCAACCACAATTCCCAAGTACAGTATGGCGTGCATGATGAATGGGGGGAATGAAATTCGAATTTGAGACGAAACACACCCGAGTGTTTTGTTTGTGTGACTGTGATAATCATTTTCCTTATTGCTCGTCTTATGCTTTTCTTTTTTTGGTGGCGGAAAAAATAAATGAAAGGTTGCGGCTCCAGTGTCGAGTCATTACAAGGCCCTGCAGGCAGTAGACAAGGAAGCGTTGACTGGGAACGCCGAGGCTTTCGACTGTCCTGTTTGCTTTGTCAAGGTCGAAGCCCAGTCTGGCGTTGTGCTCAAGGAGTGTCTCCACTCGTTTTGCAAGTGAGTACAGTTCCGCGTGAATCGACTATCTGTCAGTATTCATATACTGTACCTGTAGCGGTCTCCGAATATCCCTTGCGTTTGACTTGTCCCCTTTTCTTTTCTTTTTTTTTCCTTTCAGAGATTGCTTGATTGGGGTTGTGGAGCATGCGGAGGACCCGGCTGTCAAGTGCCCGTTCAGAGACAATATCTACGCTTGTGATGCCAAGTTGCAGGACCGAGAGATTAGAGCAGTGAGTTGATTTGGGGAAAAATGCTGAGTGGTGGTGGTGTTGGGTGAAAGAGAGAGAGAGAAGCAGCACAGCCCAAATGAATCCCACCTCCCCTTCCGGACTTGTTTTCAATTTACGTGACTTGGATTGATTGTTTGTTTGTTGTCAAGCTCGTTCCTGCTGGCGTGTACTCGAGACTCCAGAGACGGTCCATGAATGCCGTCGAAGGCCGGCTCAACAGCTTCCACTGCAAAACCAAGGACTGTCCGGGGTGGGCCGAGTGCGACGACAACGTGAACCAATTCCGGTGTCCCGTTTGCAACAAGGTCAACTGTCTGACTTGTCAGGTGGGTAACGGCGCCGTGGTATTTATTATTCGTTCAGTCGTGATGATCCGCAGTAATTTATTCAATGATTGATTGACTGACTCACTGGCGTGGCAGGCCATCCATGAGACGGTGTCGTGCAAGGCGTACCAGGACGACGTTGCCAGTCGAGCGGAGCTGCTGGACGAGGATGCCAAGAAGACGCGGCAGTTCCTGCAGGACATGCTGGCGGATGACAATGCCATGGAGTGTCCCGGCTGCCACGTGGTCATCCTGCGCAAGTGGGGCTGCGACTGGCTGCGCTGCTCCTTGTGCAAGACGGAGATTTGTTGGGTGACCCGAGGCCCACGTTGGGGCCCAAAGGTGAGAAACAGTATCTTAATACAGAAATAAGCGTTTGTGTGTGCTGGTCAATCTCTTGCTGGCAATTCAAATGACACTATTGCTCGGTTGTTGCAGGGCAAGGGAGACACGAGTGGAGGCTGCAAGTGCAGGATCAACGGAGTGCCGTGTCATCCCTCGTGTCGCTATTGTCATTGAAGACGGCGATATCGAGCGGGCTCTCCCGTTTCTTCAGCATATCCATTTTTGTGCCTTGATATGTGTGTGTGTTCTCTGTGTATTGTACAATTGCTTGATTGGCAATAGCGGCACTCATTCTTCCCCCTCCCCCCCTTTCATTCATTCATTTATTTTACGTTCCCTCTTCCCGCGTCGACGTTGCTGCCAGCTCGTGTTCTGATGTAGACATCGCAATGACAAGAGAAACATGACAAGTGGGTAAAAAAAAGAAAGATTGTTTTTAGTTATGCAACTTTTTTTGTTTGTTTTCAAATATGTTAATTTTCGCACTATTCTACTGCGCCATAATGCGGCACGAAACAAGGGATAAGCAATGAGCGTAATTAATTATTGCGTCTTTTGCTCGCAGAATTCTGCCAGTAGTACGTACGTGCACCCTGTTCGAACAGATCAGGAAATCAATGGTGAACATGCTCAGCCAGCATATGTAGTGTATTGTATGTGTAATGCTAGACATCCTTGAGGCGGAAAACTGGGTCAGTTGTGATTATTGACCATGATTCTTGCGGCCTCGTCATCCTCAGCAGAAGTTCTGATTACAGATGAGGCCATCGTGATGATTGCGAATATAGTAAGCTACATCGTGTGCCAATAACATGCACAGGATGACACGTACTCATTACTGCTCTTACTTCATACCCTATTATATACAAAAGTATGGTGTGTATATGTTAAAGTGGGCTAGGTATTGTACACCCATGCATTCAGTATGCTTACTGCTACTGCTATTTACTGTATATATATATATATATATTCTTTTTTTCTGTGAGGCCCCCACATGCAGACCTGTGGACAGTTTGACATAACACTTATTTTACCAGAAAAAATCAATAACTAAGGCCCAACATGAGGACACTGACTCAACATAGGGAGATTTTGTGATACAATTGCAAATACATTTTAGGCCAAATTACAAGGAACAGATACTTCAAAGCCTAAAATTGATGTAAGAAAAGTTCTTGGGCATTTCTCTCANAACTCCAATAACCAAGACTGCATACTCGGTTTTCTACTGTCCATGAGCATTTTTCATCTCTGCTGCCTCATCCAATTGCCTCCAAATATTAACTTCCCTGCTTACTGTCATCATCAGACCAGTTTTATGCTCTATAATTCCACCACTTGATCGAAAGATTCTTGTCAGCAATGCAGAACAATAAGAGCTAGTTTACAATTGCATATACACTATTATTTACTTTAGCAGTGATAAAAGGAAAACATGTGCAGATGCAATAACTGTGTACACACACACACACATATATATAAACACAACAGGACTTGGCTGCATGTATATTTAGGAGGTTTTCGTCAATGCTCAAAAATGATTCTTTTCAAAAGCATCTGCTTGGCTGCACATCATTTGCATTTCACTTGGCAACAGCACTTGCCCAACCAAGATATAAAATTATTTCAAACAGCAAACCACCAAATTCTGACAAGTACATTCACTTGATCAAGTCAAAACTTGCTCAAAAATAACAAGCATGTTCTTAACAAAGTGCCGGGACCCTATAAATAAATCAATTCCTGAACATGTGTTCATGGAATAATGAGCCAATTATTTATCATACAGTACTGTATTTTGTATTTGCAAAAACAAACCTGTCAATCAATAAATTGATCTATTTTGCAATAAAATCAAGCAATCATGTGCAACGTATCTGCCAGCTATTATATACTCATGGATGAAGAGAGTGTATAGCCTGATGATGACCAAGAGCACAATTCATTTTTCTTCCAGTCGGGTCATAATTTATTCACCACAACGGCGAGGATAGAATCATAATCATAGGGGATAAGATGAAATACTGTCTTTGCACAAAATAATTAGAAAACCTCATTTTTCCGACAAATGTGACCAGCTCAGCATGTTTCCTTCATCACTAACTCTGCATTGGAATATGACACAGCAAATTATTGTGCACAGCCAGCACACACGCATCAGTTCACGTTATTACTGTATTATTATTATTACTGTATTGTACTGTAAAGCAGTACGTACTGCTATATCATTTGTTATTTCTGCTATTGCATCACAGAAATATAGCCCCAAGTTTGGTGTTTGAAGCTGGCTGCATGCATGATGCATGCATGCATCATGCCCGTCAGCAACCAGCAGCATACATGCAGGGGATGATCAGCCACATTGGTCGAGGTCACGTCCGGCGGAAACTCGACGTGCAAGGTGAGTTGGAAATGTTGCAAAACGAAACCCATGACTCCGCAGTTTCCAACAGCACATCAATCCTGCCAGAATAACTGCATTGAATGTGCGGTATTCTGCGCATGGACATCAGGGCCTATAAGTGCAGGGACATTTTGCAATACAGAGAACAAATGCAGCCAAGGAAGTTTGCACATTTGACTCAAGTTCTGCTGTACAGTCAATCCTTGACTTAGTGCCAAACATTTCTGTGAAAAAAAAATCTCCCTCCATTGTGTTCTTGAGGGAAACCCTGATTTATTGCCAATAACACTCTTCTGCAGTGCCACACAAGTTTAATTTTCCCTGCTCTGAATGATGAATAAGTAAACAATCAGATGGATTAAGGCATATTCCCAGAGATTTTACTGTACTGAAAATCACATGCCCATGCTCAGGATAATTTTGAAAATTAGCTTTCTGCTGCATTTACATGAAATTGGTTGGTTTTATTTTGATGCCCTCCACATACTGTAGAAAGAAAATCTCAATAACTGCAATAGTCTCTTTAAAAAAATTAAAACCACTCCACCTGCTCATGAAATATTGTGTTCTTTCATTGAAAAGGGGATACAAAACTGCAGAACACAGCTATCCACTCCTTGAACTTTACTCAAAACTGAGAAAAAATTCAATGTACTGTACCGTTACGTGAATTGAAATGCAATAAAGATAGTTTGAGCCTCAAATTATTATTATTATTATTACCTCCGTCTTTCTCTTACTAAACAGACTCAATAGTCAAACAAGCCTTTTTCACCAATACTACTATATATAGATGCCCTCAACAAATATTTCCTTGATCACGATAATACCCCTCATTCAGTGTTGCCCTTGTTTAATAGTGTCAGGAACAATGATGGTACACTATCATAAATCAGGGTTTGACTGTACATTCTTTGGCTGCTTGCTTATATTCATTCATGCATTCAATGGGGCTTCTTATTCTACTCTACCCGTTTTCTCCATTATACAGACCACATTAGCTGTTGGGATGTCCTCCAAGTTGTCATCAGTCACATCAGGCCGTGAGTTGAAGGATGATGTGTGGCCCAAATTGGCACTCACGGCTCGTTGGGCCAGCACGCACAAACTGGCCCAGTTGGTGCCAGTGCGTGTGCTCATGCGGACAGTCAAGCGGGTCCTGCTTGCGATCCTCGTGCTTGTGGTCCTGTTGAAGCTGCACTGGCTCGCCATTCTCTCGCCAGAGCTCAAGTTCCTCTACTGGGACGGACTGGACACGTACAAGTGTGCGCTGGCCCAAGGGCGGGACTGGAAACAGCTCCTGCACCAGCCCTTCTACATCAACGATGACGGCATGAACGTCACGTTTCATGGGCTGCAAGACGTCCTGGCACCAGGCTACCGACTGCAGGCCAACGGGACCTGTGCAGCAAGAGCAACTTGCCGCACCCGAGTCGCCATTGTTGTGCAAACTGCAGCCTGGAACTTTGCTGAGCGCCATGCTGTGCGCTCCACATGGGGCAAAGGTGAGATGAGCAACACAAATAGGGCGCGTCTGCCTGTGTCTTTCCTCCATCCTGTTTCCTCCAATTTTTTTTTTGTTTCCATCGCGGAAAAGGTGCCAAGAATACTGGCTGCATGACAATGCTGTTCATTGTCGGCACACCCATCGAGGACGAGGCGGTGCAGCAACAGCTCATTCGGGAGAACCAGCAGTACAGAGATATCTTGCAGACAGACGTGGTCGAGACGAAGTTCAACATTGCACTCAAAGAGGTAGCTGCCCTCATTTGGGTCAAGCGCCGGTGTCGCGGCATCACGCACTTGTTCAAGACAGACGACGACGTATACGTCAACATCGACGCCCTCCGAAGGCAATATTAATTATATTATTATCGTGGCAAATTTGACGAAACAAATTAACCAATGCTTTTTTTTTCTTCATTTCAACATTTGTTTGTTTCGTGTCATATGACTCCATGCAGATCTGCTGAACGAATGCCAGAAGAGCGCAAGGAGATGGTGGGCTGGAGAGTGGGGCAAAAGTGCTTTTTCCGGTCCGGACACCACCTCTTTTTCCGGCTCTCCTCCAACATGCCCGAGGACCTGTGGCCCGAGCTGGACTACCCCTTCAACGAGCACCCGCCATTCCTCGTGCAGTCGTACATGATGTCAGGGGTGGGGTTGCAGCGCCTGGTGTCGGCTGCATTCGCGGGCCCGTTTTGGGCCGTGCAAGGCGACTTCTACGTGTCGGGCATCCTGGCAGAACGGGCAGGAGTGCGTCGAGTCAATTGGGAGGCATTCCGCGTGTCCTTTGCCGAGAGCCGGGCAAGTCGGTCACTGCTGCCCAAGGCCCTCTTCCGCTGGACCTACCGGGATGCCATCGTTGTGTCCCACCTCCATGCCCCCTTCTACCACATCAAGGCTGACGAGTTCCGCTTCCTGCACGACGTGTTTCGCGAAGACACACTGTCCCTCGACAAATAACCAGCAGAAAGATGACACGAATAAAATAAGAAAAAAAAAACTTGCTGCGTGCTGAAACAAACACTCACTGCTTTCATTGCATGTCCAACATTCAGACACTTCTCAGCTATCATCCGAGCACTCAGCGATCACCAGAGAATATTCCAGCAATATATTATCTCCTCATAAAATTGGAGAATTCCATATTGCTGGAATCCTTCAAATCCATCCAGTGTGTTAATATTCTGGTGTATTATTGGTACAGTAATTCATTCAATCGTGCCCAGATGGTGTTTTGCTGTTTTTGCCGCTAACCAAATCTTCTGACATGCATATTTTTAGCTGGGGGTATTCCAGACTACAGTTGGCAACCACCAGAAGGGTATTAAATTGCAAAGGGTTACGGCCAATTGGTATGATTGTCCTCCTCTACTGAGATGCTTCATGTCATTCTCACAAAAATCTTGGGCCAGAACGCTGATCTACTTTCTTGACCCTCCCCCCCCAAAAAAAAAATGTTTGGCTGGAAGTGTTGCATTGTGGATAGTAGAAAATAATAAGGAGTAGGATTTGCTGCTTGTGCTTCAACTAATCCACCGTTTACCTCGAAATTCCCCTTTGGCTCTATTACATTGAACACCATGTATATTCTTCCAAAAAGTGTCTCAACTTAAATGTGCATTAATCTGAATGATGTGTGTCTTGAGCTGTGCTAAACAATCCCTTTCCAACAGTGAAGCTGCTGGACAACATCCTACAAGCCAGCTAGATTTAAAACTTAATAAAATACCTCCTCGGTTATAACACCGACATGCGGTGAAGCAAAAACAATCGTATCCCTCAAAAAATAACCAGGAGGAATTTTTTACAGATGTCTTCACATAACAACGTCTCAAAGCTCTTCATGCCACTGCAAATGGCTGCTGGCTTCCGGCAAGGCTGGCGGATGGGCGCACATCGCCGGCGTCTCCACGTCAAAGTGGTACATGCATCGACTCGGCTCCGACGCCGACACGATCCTGTTCTCCTTGCCGCAAGTCAGGTGCACATGGGCAGACCGGTTGGGTCCGTTCCAGCACCCGAGCCCATTTTCAAACATCATTTTCCTGTCGAACGACAAAACAGAATATACGTGACTCCATCACTGTACAGTACTGGGGAACCCTCCGATATCCAACGCACTTTTCTCGACATTCTCTTCTCCCAAGCAAATACTCGCGAGAGCGAGAAAAAAAAAAATCCTACTTAAGATTTAATACAAACCTAGAATCATCACAATTTTTTCATTCGAAAAGAGCTGCAACTCACTCGTGTGGGTTGGACTCTGGGCCAGCCCAGGCCTTCCACGAGCCCAACTTGGTCTCGCCGCCGCCGTGACGCGGCTTCTGCGTCGCCTGGCCGAACCAGCAGATCTTGTACAAGTACTCCCTGTCCGTGTGCTCCATGCACTGGCCTTCCAGCGGCAGGAATGCATCCTCTGGCCCAAAGTCCTTCTCTAGCGTGGCCGAGATGGAGTTCAATTCGTGCTCCAGGTCCCTCAGCGTCCTGTCGGCTTCGTTGAACTCTTTCCGGGCCTTCAATGAAACAGAACAAAAAATATAAAAATAAGGACGTTCATTTGAAATGGCCATTCATCGACAGGTTAAATAGAAAGCAAAAAGCACCTTCTCGGCCTCGTCAACCAAAAGCTGCGTTTCCTCGTCGTAGCCGTGGTCGACAACGACACTCGGCTCCGGCACATCGTCCGGCACTTCGTCTTCGTAGTCATCCTGGAAATCTTCCGCCTTGTTCTCCTCCTCCTCCGACTCGCCCCTTTCTTCCTCAGCGTGCTCGTCCTCTCCTTGTCCCAGTTCTCGTTTTTCTTCCTCCTGCTGCTGATGATGTTCCTCCTCCTCCTCCTCTGTAATAACATGATGCCCGGCATGAAAAGAAAATGGGGGAAAAAAATAAAACACCGACACTCCTTTTTACCGCAAGGCCTCCGCAGGAGAAACCCATGTTCCACCTCATCACAGAATTACAAAACCAACGACAGATGTAAATTATCACACACACACACGCACAAACTAATGAGAATCACATTCACGGACAGTATTTCTTTGATCTCCTTTTGAAAAGTGGGTCGAGAAAAAGAGTGGCATTCCGCAAACACCGACGCTGTTTGCAGAGAAACAGGATGGCGGCCAGGCCCACAGCGAAAAGCACAAAGAGGAGCCAACCTGGGTCATGGTCTGCTTCTGGTGGCGTGAACATGGGCTTTCGGGCTCCGTCCGAAACGTACGGTCGCATCAAAATCCAGCCCGTCCGTGAAAAGTCCTCCCACGTCATCGAGTCTTGGTTCAACACAAAAAATCTGAAAATCATCGCATTAAAACAACAGAAAAAGTAGGAAAGAAAAAAAGAAGAGAGAGAAAGAGGGACTCACCTGGCCTCTTCTACCGACACGACGCCGTCCTTGTTTTGATCCAAGCGTAAATCAGCCTGGACTTCGGCCAAGGAAATGAGGCCATCCACGTCCACGTCCAGCTTCTGCCACACAGCCTTCATTTCCTCCTCCCGCTTGGCCTTCTCCTCCTCCGCACGCTGCTGACGCTCCTCTTCTTCTCTCTGCCGGTGCACAGCCAGGGCCGCCGCTTCACGGGCCTCCACCTCCTTCTTGGCCGCCTCCCTGTCGCGCATCTCCTGCTCTGCCGTCTCCCGCAGGGCCTTCAGTTCCTTCACCTTGGCCTAAAGCGATACACAGTCAAGTACAGCACAGTACAGTGCTCAAATCCCCCCCGTCTCCTTTTTTATTTTTAAAACCAAATTACCTCAAGCTCATTGCGCTTGGCGTTGGCTTCACCAACCAGGTTCATCCTGCTCTTGAATCCCGCCTCATGCTCGCGCATGGCCTTCAAGTAATGCTCCCGCGCAGCTTCACCAAGCAGCGAACACGTGTTGACGCACGAGCTGCCCTCCTGGTATTCGTCCGAAGTGTCGCAGCAGTCGCAAATGCCATCGTTAACTCTGCAATTAAATCAACACAAAACAGTGATGAGCATTTATGAACATTTATACTTTGGGAACATTGATAAGACTTTGAGAAATTGGGAGCATTGATAAGACGCGCATGCCACCATTGATTTAAACGAGAACAGGAAAGAGAAAAACATCCAACAACCAAATCAAACGCGCCATCTTTACAATTACGCCCACGACAACCAAAGGGAAGCCCAAATCATAATCTTTCTCCTCTTTTTTTCCAGTTCATTTCAATACCCAAGGCCTTTCAGCCATGATTTTCTTGACACACGAAAAATAAAATAAATAAAGAACAGAATTTGAATGGAAGTGAAAGACTAATTGGACAAATGAACCCTTCATGTGTCCAAGTTCAGCATACTGTCATCTCATTCCAGAAGCAATATCACCAGCAACAATTTCTGGCAATTCTTCCCACAACAAGTATACTTTTTTCCCCAACTAAAAACCCTCCCTAGGTCGTATTTTTTTGCTGGTCCCTTGAAATTCGACAGTACAACAATCATGTTTCTCCCTTTGACATAGTCTACTAGTAATTTTCCCGAGGCAACTCAAACTCACAATATAATCAAGCACAGCGTACCGTTAGTTCATCACGGCAATTACCGAGAACAGAAAACAAGAAAGGAAGCAAACGCTTACCTGGACGAAGGGATGACCTGCGGGACGTGACCAGCATTGGAGCAGAAAAAGGTGGTGTCGGGACACGCGGCCGTGCCCGGCTCGTCGCTTCCGTCGGCGCAGTCGCAGTAATCGTCGTTGACAAAGGCAAACGGCACCTTGGCCGACCGGTCCAGACACACGAAGTCCTTGGCCGGGTCGTACAAGGCGGCGCGCTCCAGCGGAATGCCGCGGATCAGCAGCCCGGCACCGAGGTCCAGCTCCGACCCGTCCACTCCTGGTGCCGGCCACCAACACACCATGAGCGTGAGCATCAGCAGCGTCGACGCAGATTCCGCTAATTTCACCGACATCACTCACGGAAATCCCCCCTTTTCAGGACAAGACAAGAGACTAGGAAAACGTTAATCTCTTCCCTCCTTCCTACATCGTACCGCATTACAACCCCGTTTGGAAATGAAACCGAATCTGTAGCTCGCCTTGTATTTCACCGAACAAACGAAACCGAACCCTGCAGATACACACACGACGAATCACGAAAATTGACCGGTGTGCCGCGAACCGCTCTAGACACAACTACGCCTCGCTTCGGCTGAAAAACGATAACATTTTTTTAAACGCCGCACCTTCGACTAAATCGAAGACGCGTAAAGAAAACAATCGAAATCGACGAGATTCTTTCGCGAATGTGCAACCATTCATCACATAAAACCGGTTGCACCGCAACTTCACCCGTAGCGGACTGCCGCATCACAATGCGACTTCAGATCAAGACGATTACAGCCTTCAACGATATAACCCATTTTTGAACATGTTTCTCAATTTTTCGAATTGTTTTTTGTACCTCACGAAACACGTCGCATCATACGATCGAGATCTTTTCAATACCGATACCCTGCACAACGAAAAAAATAAACAAGGATAACTACCGATTGTTTCAATTAAAAAAAAATCGAGTTTCACATTCGGTTCGAACGAGACGTACGTGCACGCACGCAAGTTGAATAATCTTCCGGAAAATATACAATCGATATATGCATTACACGCGTCGTTCGATACAAAAAAAAAAAAGTTCACCTCTTGCTGGTACGAAAACAACGCAAAGCTCTGAGCAAAACGTAACTTTTGTGCGTCACCAGGTTCGTACATACTCGAACCAAGAAAGCTTTTCTTTACTTGTTCCCCCTCCGTCGCGTAAGTAAGCACAAAAATAGAAACGTGAAAAATTGAGACACTGCGGGGAGGGGGAACGGAAGCTCAATCATCATCATCAATGTGTTTCAGCTCTCGTTCATCATCTCCCAAATTTACATTCGGGACTAGAATGTGTCTCGTTACACTGCCTTCTTCTTCCTCCCTCGGATTGACTGCGTCGTCTACAACAGACTGCTGTAGTTCGGAAAAGCAAGCGTCGCTCGAGTCGACGAGCTCGCGCAGAGTCGCGTGCACAAGCTCGCCATTATCCTCCCCCTCCTCCTTTTCTTCTTCCGATGAAGACGACTCGCCACACGTTTCCCACATCGTGTCTTCGTCCCGTTCTACCACCTTCCCCACCAGGCCCGGAGATTTAAGGATGGACCTCTTCGCAACCCCCGAGTCGCCGCCTTCCTTCAAGTGACTGTTCCACGTCGCATCCGCTGCGAGAACAGAGCAGAGCAACACATTCCTCGTTGAAAGATTGTTGAAAGATGGAGGACAAGACGAAAACTTGCCTTCAATTTCGTCACAGTTTCGAGACGCCGCAGCACGCCCAGCAGCCAACTCGGCGGAGAAAAACTCGGAACGCGCTTGACGCAGCGCTGCTTTGGCTTCATCGATGCTCTTCTTGGCGGTCTTCGACGCCTTGCAGACCGTGCTGTAAACCTCTTCCTTTTTTCCAGTACTCTTCCTACAAAACAAAGCCACAAACCTTTTTCCTCAAGCACATCAAAACTCTCAATGCAAGCTTTCCGAGACACTCACGTCATAACACAAATGGGTTCAGAACGAGACACTCCGAGGTGTTGTCCTCCATAACATCCATCCTCCTCTACTTCGAACAGTTTCTTCGGCGTAGACCGAGGAACTCCGTTCGCTCCCCACACAAAATCCTCAGAACATTGCGTCGTCTCTGCACTGGTCTTGTTTTGTCCGTCGCAACCATCCTAGAAACAAATTCATTCACACGCAAATGAAAAGCATTAGCGAGGGAAACGTCGGTATATCGCGACTCAAAACTCTCACATTTGAAGCTTCGAAGTAGCTCACGAGATTCTGGACAGAGCCCTTCCCCGCAAACCACTCGGCATTAGGTAGATACTTGCCCTTTCGAACATTCGGACCCACTTGTAGTTTCCTGGCGCAAGATTTCCAATGTTTCTCCGATCCCGCACGCGAAGCAAAAGCAACTTTCTTGAGCTGAAGTTTCAACACAAATCGCAAATTTTAATTATTCAATTCAAATATTTCATTTTACATAATCATTTTGTTTCTGTTGCAAAAATGAGAACACGCCATTTCTGATTCTTGGTGCGAGAACAACTCACTCGTGAGCTTTGTGAGAAGTTATTTCAACTTGGAACATTTCCCCAGAATAATGAGAAAGGAAAATAATATTTTTTTCCCGCAAACTTCGACCCCATTTTAAATAGAAAATCCAGCTTTCCTTCACCAGGTTTGTAGATTACAGGATACAAAAAAGATGCTTCAGAGGTGCTCACAGGGGATTCGTCCTCGCCAGAGCTTTTCTGGGCATTGTGATGAACCATTGCTGTCACACTCAAGTTGCAAGACCTGGTATTTCCTTCTTCCGACGGTGCAGACGAAGAACTACTCCCGTCTCCAATCCCATTCCTCAGTTTCTCCAACAAACGCTCTTGCACTTCGTTACCACTGCTTTAAAATTCAATGAAAACAGAAATATATACAAATGACATAAATTACGATGTCACATGGAATGTCGAACACTCGCATGGTGTATCACTCGCCTCGTGAATGAACTATCTTGACTCTGGAATCCATTGCAATACTGGAAGGGCTCCGAGGGAGCGACTGCGCGAACAATGTCTTCTGGCAAGACAGCATAAGGTCCTCGAAACTCGGGTTTACCCAGCTGCAAATAAAAAAAAAAAAAAAAAAAAAAAAAAAAAAAAGAAACGGGGGAGGATAGGGAACTTGTGAGAACAACTATTGAAAGAAGCACGACAAAGGGGGAAAAAAATCGATGATACCAATCAACAACCATTTTGTTTCTTCTCGGAGGTCTCAGCGGCGGCATCTCATTTTCCTAAGGGGAATACAGTGAAAAGGGTTAACCTGAATGTAAAAAAGAAATGAAGATTTCGAAGAAGCGTACCTTGGCAAACCACGAGGAATGCCCCAGACTTCCCGGCTTCGTCTCGTCCAACGACGTGTCCCCCAGAGCCCGGACGCAGTTGCCACCCGTCGCAGTACCGATCACGTGCGGCATTTGAAGCGAACACGAGTCTCCGTGCCTAGTGGAAAAGTGCGAGGCTGGTTTCACGGCTTCCGTCTGCGACCCTCCAACGACCGTCTTCACCACAACGGCGCCGTCTTCGCGCGAAACTTGCACCATCTGCGTAACCGATCCCAGTTGAACGACGGCCTCACGTTCGTCGTAGCCCTCGTCCGCGTTCTCGCACTCGTTGGACGGCGTTCGCGACAACGGTGTCGCCCTTGACCGCCGCTTCGAAGGCGGAGAGGACGCCAACATGGACATAAACAGTTCGCTCGTAGTCATCTTACTGCAATTCACGGAAACAACAAAATAAATGAGACAAACACGAATGCATTAATCCAAGTATCCAACAAATTACAGTACTTACTTCTTCACATTCGCCTTTCCATCTGTCTTATCCGTCAACAACGACGTCTCATTCAAGCGAGACGGTTCAGAGTCACGCGACTGATTCAACCTCCCAGCCCGATACTTCTTGCACTTCTTCAACGAGTCGTAATTCTTCGCAATGTGCGAGGACTCTGACGATGACGTCACATGAACCGAATCGTAAATCCTTTCCGTTGTCAACACGTCATGACCCTAAGAATTTCAATATAAGCCATGTAATGCGCATCACAGCACGCTGAATTGCGCATGAGAATGGAACACTCACATTCAACATTTCAGCGATGATGTCGGGGAGATCTTTGACGTTGACACGCTTAAGCAGGTTCTGCGGTTTGTCTTCCGAAACAAGAGCATCCAGCAAAAGTCCGGGGAATTCATAATTCAAGTTTCGGTTCGAGTCTCCCTTTCGGTACTCGGCCAGTACCGATGACACGTATTCGTCACTCACAGCAGCCCACGGTAATCGTCCTGTCAAAAATCACACAAAGTGGGTTCACGAATGCATTAACACGTCAAGCTAGTAACATGTTCCCAATAAATAAGCAGAAGATAACTCATGGACGATTCAAGAAAGAAAGAAAAACACACACCTCTCATCATCTCCTCGACGACGACGCACAACGAGTATACGTCACTCTGCAACGACATCAAGGCTCGCTTGCCCACCACTTCCGGCGCAATCCATCGATGCAGTGCGACCTGGTTCCCTATGGCACTTCGCTTCCACATGACTTCCGTCACGGGCGTGCGCTCGTCGCTCATGTACTCGAAGCACGACAACTTGCCGCGGTTCTGCGACACGAGTTGGACGGCGTGGGAAGTGATGGCGCCGTGGACTAGCCCACGCATGTGCAGGTAGGCGAGTGCGGACACGAGCTGCCGACCGACGTCCTCCACGTCGCACTTGCGCAACACACTTCTGCGCACGTGCAAGAAGTGATGAACGGATCGGAGATTCGCCGCTTCGAAAACTGGGAACACTCGCGCACCGCGATTGTTGCGCTTCCACGACACTCCAATGAGGGTCAGTATGTCCGGATGTCGTAGGTACCTTCGTGAGAATATCATCAAACAAAACATACTGAATTACTGTTGAAGGCAGTCCGATTCGAGGGGGAAAACTGGGATCTCTCACCTCAAAGAATCCAGCTCCATGAACATAAGGTCTGGCTGCGGGTGACGCTGTCCGCTCGAACCGACCGTTCGTCGCACCATCACGGGGGTTTCGCCCCACGAGCAGAAAACCATTTCCGTGAATGCCCCGACTTTGTACGGATCGCTCTCCACAAGCACCAACGATTCCGGGGCTATGGAAAGGTTCAAAAACATGAACAGCTTTGAGCCTCCGCACATCAGATGGAGGCCGGGCCCGATGTCCAATTCCGCCGGCGGATTCCCGCCACACTGCACCGACAGCTCCGCAAGTTTCAACGTGCTCTCCTGCAGTTTCTCTTGACAAGACCTAATTGAACAAAAATATGCCAAAAAAAAGAGGTGTATCAGCGATGAGACGCAACTCGACGCATCGGCATCGCACACTCACTCGACAGAATCCATCTCGAACGTTTCCATTATTTTGTGCATTCTTCGCCGATCTTCGGGGTCACGAACGAGATCTGCCCAATCCCTAAAGAAGCGTTCGAATCGATCACTTAAATGAGCCATCCGTTCACGTGAGCTATCGCTGAGAAAACAAACCTCGGCAGCTTCCCTTCGTCGCTGTGAAGGTTCAAGGAACCACCCATGGATAGGATGAGCCGCAGGATCCTTTGACTTCCGCTGTACGCAGCACCATGAACCGCTGTAGCTCCATCGGTGCAGCGAACATTTGGAGAAGCACCATACTATCGAAAATTTAGAATAAAAGTATACACTGCACTACACTGTACCGTCAAGTCTCATTCCTTCCAACAACACAAACAAGTACCGGAGCTTACACGAAATAGAAGTTTCACCGCCGAGTAGTTTTTCATGAATGAGGCAGCAAACAGAGGCGTTATTCCATCAGGTCCCATGCAGTGCACGTTCACACCTATACATGATCAACCGAGGGCCATCACACGTGTCACGACAATAGTAATATAAATTCAACGACGTACCTTCCTTCAACAATCTTTCAAGGAGGCCTTTATTTTTCGTGCCAATCGCTTGGAAAAGCTTGCTGACATCAGACGAAGATTCCAATAAAGAATGGGAATCATTTATATTGAGGCTAATGGTATGACCCACGCGGTCCATTTTCCGCAAGAGGAGTGCGACCGGTAATACTGTCACTGTTTCAGGCACATCTTCACTTCACACGACAAAGAGTAAAAAAAATATCCCTGGCTTGAAAATTTTCCGTCCAGAGATTACATCCTGTCCACAAGACAAATAATTTTGGTAAAATTCAAGCTCTGAGTAAAATCCAGCACATCGCCGCTCACTGATGATAACGCAACTGACCGCCTCAAAACTGTCTCGGGATACCTGCATTTTCTTCCAGAGGAAAATGCTGCCCACTTCAGTAAGGTTTTATAAATAAGTCCTCCGCCAGGGCACTAGATTCACAGAGTATTTATTTCGGTCCGTACTCCGTTTAGATGGCAGCAACACAAACACCAAGTCAATTCGCGCGTCACACAATATAAAAATAGATGTCAATGGTTCGAAAGTCCAAAGCGCAGTGACTCTAATAAGGAATTGTAGAGTAAAGGGACTTCTTCACAAACACAGAGTCTATTTCTTTCACAACAGTTACACAGATGTCAGGAGGTCAACAGATTAAGACAAGCGTCTTGGTCAAGAGCTGAAGGCGAAGTGATGATCTCGTCTCTCTCCGTTCTTGCCTCCGCCAGTGGTCAATGAGATGAAGAGATAGGACTGGGAGTTTTGGGTGGGAGACATTTACGTCTGGCCTTGCGCCAATAGGGTTTCCTAGATGTCGCTCTGTTCGGTAAGGGTAAGCCCTTACTCTCTCCAGTCTCCTGGTCCTCTCCGCATCTCCTCCGATCATGGGCTGAAGCGATACACCACCACTGTGAATCGCAAGCTTCTCCGAATAAAGTACAATATTGTACATGGCGCTGAACCATGGTAGGATGAATATGCATTAATCACGCAGTACTATGTGCAGTACTCCACAAGGCAGCCTGCAACCACGCCTGATGCACAGTACAGTTATGATCCAGGTCTTGCAGATGCCCCTGCTGATATAAAATACTGTACTGTACTGCAATGCAACACTGCATCGCGCGTGCATCGTGGTGTTAAGACCTTGTATGTCCTGGGCAATTTTCGTTTCTGTATCATACAACACAGCATTAATTCTTAACCCCAATTTGGTGCGACAAGGCGGTCATTTTCCCCCCACATTTGTTGCACGAGCGACAGTCTCTCGCCAATAAAGCCCCCTATCAAATGCGGGTAAGGCCCCAGCATCTCCCCACAACAGAACTCCTCACCCCTGCGCCTCCCATCCCCTCACGCCCGGCACCCAACACTCTCTCTCCTGCGATTGTGCATGAGTGACTTCACGAATCGGGAATACATCCCTCATGCAGGAAGCAGTGTTGCAAGTATCTGAACTACAGTACTAAGAAAGAAATGATTTGTCCATATATTCCTGAAATGATACAACAGGTTGTTCCATAGGTTTTTCAAATTTGAAACATATTCTAGGAAATGTGGTTTGATCCTGGAGCGAGGCATTATATAGCTTTGGAAGTGCTGAAAAATCAGGTTTAATGGGTTGAGAATGACAAGAGTGTGCAGCAATGACAGCTATAGGTTTTACAAATGCACAGTTTTTTGTGTGTGGATAATACCGGAAGATGAATGAAAGGAAATTTCTTTGAGAAATCTTCTCCAACCAAAATCGCAGAGTATAGAATAAAAAAAGGTGAATCACTGCAAAATCTAATGCAGGAATTTAGAATTAGTCACTCAGGAATAGAATTTTTTTTTGCCAATTATCCCCTTCATCATTGGGAAAGTCAATAGCTTCTTTTTGTGATCTTGGTGTCTTGGGTATTCCACAGACCATTTGGATTCAAGTTAAATGAAACATTGCTTCAGAGGGTGTGACTCCCGTCGTGGAGTGCGGAGTCGCGTTGTAAGCACGAACAGAAGCGTCCAAATGTTGAGCCCAGGTTGTCTCCTTCTCTTGCATCGCTTTAGATTGAATTTGACCCAAAGTTTTGATGGCCCGTTCACAGCAGCCATTGCCCTCGGGGTGTGTTGCCTGTGCCACGTGTTGTCGAATGTGGGCACCCCGCAGGAAATGTCTGAAGGCCTTACTGCGAAAAACCGAATCTGCATCAGTATGGATAATCTCGAATTCGCCCATTTGTCTGCACAACTCTGCTAAAAAAGGAATAACAGTCTCGGTATTAGCTGCACAGATTGGTTTTGCACACATGTATTTGCTAAAATGATCCAGCGCAATGATGGCGTACTTGAACCCCTCTGGTGACGTTGGGAGAGGCCCGTAAAAGTCCACAACCAAGCGTTCGCGTGGACGTGTGCTTTTGATGGGTGACAGCGTTGTACCTATGGTCTGTGTCGGGTGGTTAAAACGAAAACAAGTTGTGCAATTAATGATACGTTGCCAAATTTGTTGTCGCATTCCTGGCCATTGAAGACGATCCCGAAGCGCCAGGTACACCTTTTTCCACCCGGCGTGTGCCAGTTCGAAGTGGTACGTGTCGATAATGGTTTCGCGTTCGTCGAGGTCCAGCATGGGTCGGACGTCAACGGCATTCAAGGAAATCCAGCTGAGGGCGTCAGGGCCTTGAAGAAAACGGCCAGGTCGATGGATGATCTCCATGTTAAACCCGGCGAGTTTCGTGTACAGGCTGACGGCGCGTTCGGTCTGCAAGTCCCCAAGCAGGGCCTTGTGATCAGTATTGACAATAAATTTCCTGTGGAGGAGATGATGCTTAAACTTTTTAGTAACACTCCAGACAATGGCTAAAAGTTTGCGTTCGGTATTAGTATATCTAGTTTCGGTGTCCGACAAAACTCGACTTGCGTATTCTATGACGCGATCTTGCCCCTGCTCGTCGGTTTGAACAAGAACCGCACCCAGACTGACTGCTGATGCATCACAGTGAACTGAAAGAGGAAGATTAGGGTCGATGCGTTCTAACTTGGACGTTTTGGCAAGACACGATTTAAGATGCTCGAATGCGTCGTGCGCCTGATCTGTCCACTGCAACTTTGTTTCGGGCTTCTTGGGAATGATGGATCTCAGGGCTTTTTTGGAATTAGCGAAATTTGTAGGCAGGTGAGCTCGCAGGTAAGTCGCCATCCCTAGAAACCTCTGCATTTGCCTGGTGGTGGCTGGCTTGGGATAGTCCCTGACGGCGTCGACATTCCTCTCTGCTGGTCTACTCCCTGTTTGATCAATAACATGCCCGAGAAAAACCGTTTGCCTGGCTAAAAAGGTAGATTTAGCTATATCAATGGCCGCTCCAGCCTCCTGTAAAGCTTGCAAGACATCCTTCAAATTAGCACACAGGATTTCGAATGATTCCCCGAAGACCAACACGTCATCAACATAAGCAAGACACTTTTTAAAAAGATGAGGACGTAGAATAGTGTTTATGGTCCGTTGAAACATCGCAGGGCCGTTTTTGAGCCCAAAGGGCAGTACCTTGTACTGGACTTGCCCGCGTGGCGTCATGAAGGCGGTCTTAGGACGATCCTCTTGAGCCAGCGGGAGGTGGTGGTACGCATCGTGCAAGTCGAGACCGCAAAAGTACTGGTTCTTGCGGCCTAGGGCGT